TTCTCTGTCTTCAGTAGTAGTTGCAACTCCTTCTAACTGTAAATTTGAGAACCATTTATTTATTCACTCTTCCAGATTGATGAAGTTACCTAGCACATCCTTGTAATACCAGGGTAGATTGATTTAAATCACCAATTTTAATCATTATTTAAATCATCAGGCAGGAAACCTTAATTTAAATCACAGATCTTAATCTTGTTTTGCATTTGTACTTTTAGTTATTTTCCTAAACAAGAGTTCATTCTCATGGTTGGTAACCATTAACACATGTTGATTTGTAACTAAATTTAGTCTTCAGATGAAATGGAGTACTTCTTTTTGCTAACCAGAAGGACACACTAGATTCATACACGTTTGTTTAAACAATTATATATATATATATATTTTTTACTTGTAACCTCTGTCAAGCTGCATTTGCTGGAAATTGGAATTCAGTTAAAAATACACAAAAACATTTTAAAATTTGTTTTTAGTTAAATAAAACTATCCCAATGTACTAAATACATAAAAAAAAATTATCAAAATATATTTTGCATTTAAAAACATAATGCTTCTGCCAGGTGGAGTCAGCAGCAACAAGGGCTAGGTTCAATATCCAAGGGGTCCCTCTTAACAATATAACACAGAACCAGCTCAAGTCTCCTCCCAGTAATCTGGATAAATTAAACACTGCTCCTGGGAGCCTCTAAAAGGCAAACTTCCCCACTCACAAGCACTGAGTCCATATATAGCAGAGAAAACTTTTAATAAAAAAGAGGAAAGAAACCTGACATTTATTTGGGAAACCACAACCATGATTCATATATATCTGGCCATGAACAAAACTCCTGCTCCAGAGTACATTGGGCAGTGTCCTTTTCCTCCATTTCTCACCTAACAGTGTGAAAGTCCAACAAACAAATTTCCCTTTAACATGCCACTCCCCTCTTCCTCCACTGCACCCCACTTACAGCTGCTGTCCTTGGTCAGCAGAGACCCGGAGTTCAGATGGTGCCTATAACTCTTAGATAGATCCCACATCACCAGGCAGAAACACCTGTCCTCATCCTCTATCTCTCACTCCACTGGGCTCTGACATCTGAACCCCCTGCTTAGCAAGTTCAGTTCAGTTGAGGGTGACTCCCTCAATCAGGTCAGTGACCGTTCTGCTGCCCTTTACTCATACAAAAAGGATAACATTTCAGTACCCCTGCATTCAATAATAGTGATTTGTAACCTAACACCAGGCAAAATTGATCACTTTGGTAACACAGCTCTGGATACCTAGGCAGGGTGGGTGTGGTCATATAAATACAGTCTGGTCCTGAAACCTTTCCCCCCCAACTCATCATTAGCTGTCAGGGGAGAGTCCATTCAGACCTTCCTTATAAAAGTAACTGATCTATTAAACAAAGGAAGTATTAATTAGAATTTGTGAATTGATGGATTGTTTTTGTTCCCCGTGGGCCCAGATTTTCAAAGGTGTTTAGGCACCTAAAGATACATTGATTTGTATCCATCCTATTTCATATACAATATGTCTAATAGATTCTTAGATTTTAATGCCAGAAGGGATCACTTTGATCATCTAGTCTGACCTCCTACATAACACAGGCCCAGAACTTCACCCAGAAATTCCTGAATCAAGCCCACAGTTTGGATGCTTTATGACCCCAATGTTCTGTTTCAGCTAGGCTCCTTAGCCAGACTACATCTTCTGTGATGCACCATGGTCTTCCCTCTTGCTGAGGGGCTGGGGAGGCCCTGGGCATGGTGAATCATGGGCAATATAGTCCAGGTGTAGACCACAGCTCATAGAAGAGAAATGGGTACATGAACCATCTGAACTACTGCTCCTATGAGGTTGTGAATCGACATTTCAGGATCAATTTTTTTCTGTTTTCAGACAAATTTCAATTTTTGATTTTTTTCACCACAAAGTCAACTGTTCTTTTGCAGAAATATTTTCCAATTAACTTTACTATTGATGTAGAACAGAAAAGCAAATAGAAAATTTGAACATACTATATACTAGTCAGTTTATCCAACTGGTATGTAGCAACCATAATGCAATTAAATGTAATATCCTTCTAGGGGGAGAAATACCATTTCTTCAAAAAGTGGAACAACACAAAAATGAGAAGGTTAGTTAAATGGAAATGGAAAGGAACAGTCATCACAGTGAAATGCCTGCACGCTGCATGGAAGCTTTTTAAAAACACATGCATACCCCAATTTTTTTTTAAAGGACCAAAAATGCCATCATGGCTAAACAGAGTAAAAGAGATGGTTAGAGATTAAACAATACATCCTTTAAAAGCTGGAAGTGAAATCCTACTGAGGAAAATAGAAAGTGTCAAGTCGCAAGTCAACTGTTAAAGTATAATGAGACAGGCCAAAAAATAATTTGAAGAGCAACTATCGAAATTCACAAAAACTAACAGCAATTTTTTTAAAGTGCCCCAGAAGCAGGAAGCCTGCCAAACAATCAATGGGGCCACTGAATGTCTGAGGTGCTAAAGTAGCACTCAAGGAAGACAAGGCATTGCAGAGAAGCTAAATAAATTCTTTGCATTGGTCTTCAATGCAGAGGATGAGAGGGAGATTCCCACATAACAGCCATTCTTTTTAGGTGAGAAATTTGAGGAACTGTCCCAGATTGAGGTATCAATAACTTTCATTTAGTTGCATTGTTTTGATACTTATTGTATTGTTATGCTTGATGGGTATCAAGATATTAATTGGTTTCAGAGTAGCAGCCGTGTTAGTCTGTATCCGTAAAAAGAACAGGAGTACTTGTGGCACTTTAGAGACTAACAAATTTATTAGAGCATAAGCTTTCGTGGACTACAGCCCACTTCTTTGGATGCATCTGAAGAAGTGGGCTGTAGTCCACGAAAGCTTATGCTCTAATAAATTTGTTAGTCTCTAAGGTGCCACAAGTACTCCTGTTCTTCTTTTTGCGGATACAGACTAACACGGCTGTTACTCTGAAACCATTCATAAATTTGATTGAATTGCTTATACTTCATTTGAAGAGCAAGTGGAGGACAAAAGACAGAGGAAGCAGAGTTGGGATGGAGACAGAGAAGGCAAATATTTATAATCTAGCAAAGATGATTTTTGTGAAGATTTGGGAGAAAGACTCCAATTGACTTCAATGAGCTCTTACACTTCAATCCTGCAAGCACAGTAGTCCCATTGCAAGCAGTGAGACTAGTCGTGCAAGTAAACTTAAGCATGTGTGTAAGTATTTTCTAGAAAGTGGTGTGTGACAGGATGTATAAACCCAGCTCTAGAACTGAGGTTAAGGGGTTAAGGAGCAACTCTGGGCCCAAATTACACCCTCCAGCTGCACCTGCAGACCATGCTCAAGCTGCAGGCAGCGCTTAAGAGGGAACCAGACAAGGCAGAGAAAGAGATTGACCCTGATCACTCCTGAGGAAGGGCAATGCAGAAACTTTCTCCTGGAGAGGACAAGCCTGCCAAGCCCAGGGGGGAAAAGGTTCAGTTGGTACCTTTTCTCTCACTACTTTGCAACAGACTGCAAGATTTTGACAATAGAGTGGGTGGTAGGAAGTGGCCCAGGCAGGCAGCCTTAAGGCACCCCTGGGTACAGGATATTTGGTAACCCTTACAAGGCCCTGCACCAGAGCCTGGAATGGAATGGGAAGGCCTGTGATCCACTACTAACCCTCTTTGTCCAGTAAGAAGGGTTGACAACCCTCACTTTCTAGACTTCCCCCTGCTAAACCTAATGCTCCTCTGCAACATATTTAAAGATACAAGTACTGTAGAGTACACCACACATTATCAATTATCTCTCTGACTTCCTACTGTCTTATAATGTGACCCGGGAGGGAGAGGGGAGTCCCCTCAATGACAAGTGGCAGAGGGCATACCATAACTCACATCAGACCTGACACACACATTGCACCAACACACGTTGTCGTAATCTATATCTAAAAGATGTCATGTCCGTTATAATATGAAACTGATAACACACTTGTCATTAATACTATTGCATGATGTACATACAGGTGCTCTACAAAAGATTATAGTTGTGTGCTGGAAATTAAAAGGTATTTTGCAAGCAGGCAGCCCAGCCTGTTCTAGACAAAGGAATGTTGTTTCACCTGTTTTCCTGTGTCTCCAATGTAAACGAACCAGGTAATACCTCAGAGGACAATGAAAAGTACATCTAAATGTAAGGTAAATGAAGCCACCAAGATAAACAAACATTGAGGGAGGAAGACCACTTAACACTCACAGCAGGGGATGGAGCCTGCACACTACCAAGAAGCCTTCCTGGTTCTTGAAACAGAGACAATAGACTGGGAAATATACGCAGAAAAAGAAAGCCATTTTGGCATCCTTCAGCTAGGGGACAAAGGTGGGGAGCACCCTTTGAGCTCATAAAAAGTGGACCCTTTTGCCCCGAAAATGAAGAGTAGCTGGAACTGATTATACATGAGAAACCTGCTTAGACAAGGCCTGTAACTTGCTGAAGTTGTTTTAGTCACTAGAAAGTGTGTTTTGTGTGGTTTTACTGATAAACATATGTGTCTTCTGTTCTTATTATTACTTAAATATTTGTTCTTTGTTAATAAACTTAGGCTTATTTTATTACAAAATCTTTTCAGTGCTCTGGTATTAAACTGAAGGGTGAATTCCCCAGCTGAGCTAACAGGCTGATGAGTGCTCCATCTCTTTGGAGACAGAGAACGTAATGTCTGTGAGCATCCAGTGAGAGGCCTGGGCACTGTAGAAAGACGTATCTGGGGAATGCGGGAATTGGGGCTCACTCACTGTTACCTGCAAGGCCAGGTTGGGAATGGCAGAGGCCTGAGGAGTTTGCTGGCAAGACAGACATGCTCATGTGTTAGGATGCTGACACACACCTTAGCAGCAGCAAAGCTCACTCTTGCTGAAGAAGAGCGGTAACACCGTTCTGGGTGACCTGAACAAGACATCACATATGGACTTTGGATAGATAGATAAAAAGCTAATGTCACTCTATTTTGTACTAGCTCGGTTTGGTATTAAAAACAGAAGACACTGACAAACATTAGTTATAATGAATTAGCTAGTGCTGCAGTCCCAATCTCCCTCAAGTATTCCTTTTCAAAAGTATGCCTGTTTTGGGAACTGAAAGAATAGAGCACAAGGAATTAACTACAGCTTCCTGAAAACCTTCTTGTCATCCAAAATGCTTTTGTTTTGTGAACGGTAAAATATATTGGTTCCGAACATTTACTTCCAGGAGCTTGGTAGTTTGCTAAGATCAGTTCTGTAACATTGCTAGTGAATGATTGCTCCCAAGCCACTGTTCAATAATTTATTTGTTTCACCTTTAAAACAGTTTATCTTAGTATCTTAACTTTTAGCACTCTCATGAGAAACCACATTCATTAAGGATTATTTTATTCCTTACAGTCAGATAAAGTTTTAAATGAATGGTTGAAGTTTGTTGCCATGCTGTAAATACTAGAGGGAGCATTTAAATATACCAGCTTTGAACTTTCACAATCTCAAACAAAAATCCTGTTCCCCTGCTTCTGACTTAATTTTGCAAATGTTAAACCTACCTTTTCTCAATAGCCAACACAAATGCCAGCCAGGTGAGCTTTAGAAATGGGTAGCTCAAAACGTTGGAGGACCACTAAGTGTCATATTTTCTCAAAACAAAGATGTGGACAGATTTTAGTATTTTAAGCTTGATAGAGGGGAAGATTTTCCTAAAGCAATGGTTCTTAACCAAAATACAAATATTTAATGTTACTCCATCAGGAAATAATTTTGGAGAAAAAATAAATATGGAAAAATATAAAAAAGTGTTCTTATAGATCACAGAGTGAAAAAGTACCTTTTTACAACATCTTCACCATTCCAACATGCTAGCCCATCAGCAGCTGCTAACTCATTGATACACATCTGATCAGCCAGGCCTCCATAGAATGTCTTGTACAGCCGTAGACTTTTCATAAATTCTCTACCAAAACAAACAAACACAGGTAAAATAATTAGCAATCAATTAATAATAACGAGTAATCAAACTGCTACACATTGTAACAAGAAATAAAAGAATGTGTCACTTTTTGTCACCCCGTCTATTGGCTCTCATTTATTAATCTATTCGTTAATATACTTTCTAGATTTATTAGATGCCTTGAAAGAAAGATTACTCAGTCAGTGAAAGTCAAACCAAATCACAGACTGCTGCTCTGGGAGGCAACACTACGTGTGTAGCAATAAGCTAATATTTCCAAAAATGCATGTCTAAAGGTAGGCTCCTAACTCCAATACTTACCACTTACACAAGTGGCCCGATTTTCAGAAGTGCTGAATATCCAGTAGCTCTATACTGACTTTAAACTATTATACAAAGACTATCTATTGATTATGGTTTATGGGACAGATGAAGTTTTGGGAAAGACAGGTTTAGGGTGGAGATGGTATTTTTTTTGGCTGTTTAAATTACTGTTTGGATAATTTATTTCAATTTTTGTGGCATGTTCTGCTGTTGGAGTATTATTTTATGTATTTATTTTAAATAATTGTCAAGATGCCTAAAACTGGGGACACTGAAATAAAAAAATAAATAAATATCTATTAAGTTACTGGACGTACTGGACTATGATATTCATTTTTATAAACTATTTGCTAGTGTAATGAAAATCTCTCAATGGAAGACCCATACCTGCTGTGAAAATATAAATATGTATTTATTATGATTCAACATTTCACAATATGTAGGATTATCTATGACCTACAGATATGTAGAAAGTCATCAATGCAATACTCACTGCCCTGCAAACCAACAAGCATCACTCTGTTAACTTCTACACAGTGGTTGGAGACAGACAAAATTATGCTACAAATGTATGTTTGAACAAGATGATGCTTAAAAAGAGTATGAAGAATAAGTTCTATTAAATGCTATCCATTTGAAATTAAAACAAATGAAAGTTTATATATAATCAGTCATTTAAAAAATCAATATTTTTATCTAGAGACACAAGGTGGATGAGGTAATATCTTTTATTGAACCAAGTTCTGCTGGTGAAAGAGACAAACTTTCAAGCTACACAGAGCTCTTCTTCAGGTCTGGGAAAGCTACTCAGAGTGTCACAAAGTGGAACAGATTGTTTAGCATAAGTAGTTAACACATATTCTAAGAGACCATTCAAGGTGAAGTGGCCTGCTAACACCTCTGCAGTCATAGGACAAAAAAGGGGGTTAGTGGGTTCAGATTGGTTATAGTAAGCCATAAATCCAGTATCATTATTAAAAGTCTGGTAATTTTAAGTGTGCGATCAATGTTGGGGCACAGCCAAGGACAGTCAGTACGCCAAGCAGTTCAGCTTATGACTGGTGTGTTGCTGGGCAAATATACGCTGAGGTTAGGTAAAGGTAGGGAAAACTGTAGGGAAGGGTCAGTCAGGCATACTCAGTCCAAAAACATCTGAGGGTCACCATAGATTTAGCAGATATGATTGGTCTGTAAGTATGGACCAATCAGAGGTGGTCTGAAGGTGATTGGAGGATAGATATGCTAATGATCGGATTGAAAAATAAGCCAATCAGAACTGGCCAAAAACTGTATATAAGGCAGAGAGCAGGCAAGCAAAAGTTAGTCAAGATAGGAACAGGAAAAGACAACGTCACAGAAGAGTTCAGAAAAAACCTAAACGAGCAAAGAAATCAGAAGCAGCAGCAGAGGCAACCACAGAGTGACAGCAATAGCCATGGGATGCTGGGACAGAACAGAAAAAGATCCTTAAGACATAGCAGATGGAAGACGACTTTGGAGAGTAAGCATGCCTGTCATAGTATAGTATATAGAACAGAAATATGGTTAACGAATGTGTATGCTTCGGATAATAAAGATGAGTGTCTGTGGTGGGTATGTTCATGTTACTTACTATGAATAAAGCTTAGAGTTTATTAAGATTGCTGTCTGTGTCCTACATATGACTGATCAACATGTGCAGAACATAATCACTTGAGCCTTCCCAACTGTATGACATTACAGTCTTGGGTACATAACTTGTACACCTGAGCTAAGGGATTTATGATTATGTTTTAATTCATGTTTAGATTAACTGTACTAGGGAAGATTAGTTACACTAAATAAAGAAAACACTTCATTTTGGAAAATAACTGCCTTGGTGTCAATCTTTTGAGTGGAGGGCTGTATCCATTTTCTCCCAAGGGAGAACAGATCTAGTCTGTTCTGAAGGATTTCCTGAAAGGCATAGAGAAGTCTCTGGTAAACCTTGGCAATTTCACTAGGGTGGGCCCCCTTCTTTCACCTTGCAGAAAGAGATAATATAGGTTAACATTTGGGGAATCCAGAAGTAAGCAACAGAAGGGCTAGTCTGGGACCCCGGCTCTGTTCTTGGGGTAACAAGCCCAATAGTAAAAACAACAAAGAGCCCTTGTGGCACCTTAGACACTAACAATTTATTTGGGCATAAGCTTTTGTGGGCTAAAACCCACTTCATCAGATGCATGAAGTGAAAAATACAATGAGCAGAATATATATTATAGCACATGAAAAGATGGGAGTTGCCTTACCAAGGGGAGGGGTGTCAGTGCTAATGAGCCAATTCAATTAAGGTGGGAGTGGCCTATTCTCAACAGTTGACAAGAAGGGCTGAATACCAAGGGAGGGAAAATTACTTTTGTAGTGCTGATGAGGCCAATGGAGTCAAGGTGGCCCATTTCCAAAGTTGACAAGAAGGTGTAAGTATCAGCAGAGGGAAAATTACTTTTTGTAGTGATCCATCCACTCCCAGTCCTTATTCAAGCCTAATTTGATGGTGTCCCTTTTGCAAATTGATTCCAGTTCTGTAGTTTCTCTATGGAGTCTGTTTTTGAAGTTTTTTGTTGAAGAACTGCCACTTTTAACTCTGCTATTGAGTGTCCAGGGCCCCCCAACCTGAAGCAAATACTCACCAGCAACTACATAGCACACAACAAAAACGCTAACCCAGGAACCAATCCCTGCAACAAACCCCGTTGCCAACTCTGTCCACATATCTATCCAAGTGACACCATCATAGGACCTAATCACACCAGCCAGCAATGCCCCTCTGCCATGTACATTGGCCAAACCAGACAGTCTCTACACAAAAGAATAAATGGACACAAATCAGACATCAAGAATTGTAACTTTCAAAAACCAGTCGGAGAACACTTAAATCTCTCTGGAAACTCAATAAACAGAAAAATATCCCCCCTGAGCACAGGAAGTTTCAGCGCTGTAAAGTGCCAATGTAGACAGTGCATCACCGCTGGTAGCTACGCTCGTTGTTTTGAACTCGGCTGCCCTGGAGATAGGTGCCCCTCCCCTTTCAAAGCTCCATTTCTGACAGTCCTTGTATGCTGTGCTGTTCTGCTCCGGGACACAAAGCAAACCATTAATGTGGAATGCTCGTGCTGTTGAACACAGAGGAAGGTGTGTGTGTGTGTGTGTGTGTGTGTGTGTGTGTGTGTGTGTGTGTGTGTGTGTGTGTGTGTGTGTGTGTGTGTG